GTTGTGTATGTTTAATATTAAATCATGGGATTTTTTAATCAGTCTAAAGCAACATTACGATATTCCCAGTCGACAATGTGCATGTAAGACAGCGATGTAATGCACCACGCTCCAGGGATTTAGGGCTGCTTAACAGGTGTAACTGGAGTTAAACCACTGTTTACTGACTAAGATTATCTATATAGTATTTCAGCGGGGGGAAACACTGACCTGTTACCAGCACAAATAATGCATGGAACTACAATAGTAGCGATCAGGAATGTACTCAGGGTAGGGTCATCAGTGCACGTGGCGCCTTTACCTCATAAAATTGGCACTCGCATTAGCGAGCTTATGAATAATTGTCAGCAACTGAAAATCGAGTTAAACGCGTCAATTACAGCTAGGCTGAATACATGTAACGTTGTTTTACGCCATGCAAGAAATTGTGCGCACATGCGGCACGCTGATATTTTGTTTTTCAATGAACATATTTGATGTTTTGTTTTTTAATGAACCTCTTTTATATTTTGTATTTCAATGAATAATTTCAGCCTCGCCCTATCGGAGAACATTGCATACGCCTCTGGTAGTGGCCATTGACATACTGGTAGCACAAAACAATTACATGTAGGTTGGTGGGGCAACTATCCGTCTAGTTACAGTGGATTGGCTTGGTCAAACTATAAACCAACATTTTATGGACTCTACTTTCTGAACTGCTTTTAATTTAGATTATTTCGGCGGTGCCTCAAAACAAATATGGCTACCGTTAGGGGCGTCACTTTGAATACTTTCGAAGACCTACCCCCCTCCCCCAAGCTAACTTGAGCCCCCCCCCCCGCTCAATCCCCCAATACTGCTCTTCTGAGCCCCCCAATGGCCATAAATATAAAAATACTGGCTGAGTGAAATGCATCAATGTCTTTGAGCTGCCCATACATTGGGTTTCTAAATACACCACAGTTATTACCATGTTCTTGTTATGTCAGATAGTGTGTGAAGGCATCTAGTTTTTTATCAGGCCAGCTCTCCGCATGTGAGACCAATCTGCAAACGTTGGTAAGTCTTAATGAGTGACAAATAGGTTTACCAGGACAGAAATGGGTTGTAATATGCGCCGGCTTTCAAAGTGCAGGGTGGCCCAGATCAAATTTAACCAATGTCAATGCTAACAATGGCATGTGTGTATGTCGCACAGCCGTGACTACGGTGGCATGTGGCTGCCAATTCAACGGCAAAACACGAGTAGCAGCATCGTTAGCTGGAGATTTTACATCCCTCAATTCATGACTACAAAAAATTTCTTCAGATTGCTCCCTGGTGGTCCGGGATGTAAGACAGCTACACCTGCCGCAGGTCGCCGGCTGTCCTGTCGCTCTTGTCGACAGTGATGCGCTTCATCTGAGGTCTGAAGGCGGGCTGGGGCCCTTGATGGTTCGCTGTTTTGTCCATGTGGACGCAATTCTGTCGATTACCCTACAGCATGAAGTCCAGTGGCCACAGGTTGGGCGAGTGCGAAGCCCCTCCAGGGCAGTCTTAAGCTGATATTTATTCAGGGGAAATACCATTGCAGCTAATCCAATGAAGCCCGTGTCGTGTTCGGTATCGCTCCGTCCTGCTGCAGTCACTCCTCGTACCAACCAATCCCTGAAGTCGTCCCAGGGCCCCCCTGTAAGCGATCAGTGCAATGGTGCGCTGTCAACAACTGCTATTGCCCTCAAAACATCTGATGTATAGTCATGATTTGACAAATGTGAGCTCACTAATAAATGACATTGTTTGTTATCATGTCTTGCCACCGAATGGTGATTCGATTTCTCCCGCAGTATTGATTGTACGACAAAGATATTTGTCACTGTTGAGCGAAGCGTGGGTTAACTTTAATGTTGGTAACCATGTCTGAATAGTAGTTTCGCATAAGGACAGGCTGCTCGTTTGATATGTCTACGACTTCTTTGCGAACCTGATGCTGCTGTACTGTAGAACTGAGATGTTGTGGTGATTTCCGGAGACCTCCCTTGCTGTTCCAGATATCTGTTCGCGTGGAAAGAAAGATATACTACAACCATTACGTTCATAAGACTAATGATCATATGTTATACACGTCGCTCTCCGCATTTGTAGTATAAAGACTGCCCGCTTGGGGGAGGTGGCATTTATTTTTAAGAGATTTTAAGAAGTCCTAACATTTCGATTGCGTATATTTTTGGGGTAAACGCCCACGCTAAACACTCAGTGATGAGTGAGTCATGACCACATCACTTCAACATAATGTTCCGGGTTACTGTCAGAATTTGAGCAGGTTGTGCTGTTAATTTGTCACTTTTTATGTAGGTACATTCTGGCAGTGTGCATTATCTTGTATAGCTTATATTCTATACGTGTTGGATCTCGCCACCCTGCATCAAACCGTCTTTAGCGTTCTTTAGACCGTCATTGATGAGCGGAAACGACACCTATTTTTGCTGGCCACAGCCGGCGATTTAGTACAAATGAATTAGATTATACCCTTTTACAAAGCCAAGGCTCACAACGGATTTTAAAGGGAAATTGTTTCTCACTATGAAACCAACTTTGGAACCGCTAAAATATTAACCCGCTCCCGGCCGGGGGTCTGAGACAAACGCACTCGGTCGGGGAAGTCGATTTTTCCCAGGAATCTCCAACTCTCAGGCGCCGCATGAGAAAAACAAGGAAACTCTTGCAAAGGTCTCGTCAAACCGTGAAGGATGGACGACCAAATTTTTGCCGTGGGTCAAACGTCAGGTCACCAGAGCTCACGAGATGTAAAAAGCGGTGGTTCTGATGGATGCAGTTATAACCTATGTTAACATGTTAAAACGGATATTGATGGCAGGAAAGAAGCGGTAGGACTGTGGGATTCCATTCCAACCATTTATGTTCCCCACAAGAGTCAGGTCGGAGATGACCGCTAAAAATTGGTCTACTAGTAACTTCATAAGATGTCACTTTCACAAGATGCTTCTAAGTTTATCTTGTTAAGTTCAGCTGTGAGGCAAAAGTATTCCATACACAAATATATCATTTTAGGCTGACCCAGGGGCCATGTTGGGTCAACTTAGGTCACATTCATAAGCTACGCAAAGAAAACGTAGGAAATGTTAACCGGGTCTTTGTGACCAGTATAATGATTTTTTGGTCAGAAGTAGTGCGTTGTGAATCTGCAGGTGCTCCAGATACCTGTTGTATTTATGCATTGTTCAACGACGACGCTCGGCAACATATGTGTAACAAACTGAGAACTGGCATTTTGGCACAGGAACTTATGCGTCATCAGCTTCACAAACACGATAGGGAGGTGGTTACACGCGTCGCATTCGCTCATCTAGTCTTTCTGCAATTTCAACATGAGGTACTGACCTTGGATGACCACATGTGATATTGCATGCCCTTGCGTGATCTATTGTAATCTCATCATGCGTTAGTTTGATGCATCAGCATGTTTTCAACAGAACATTTGAATCTTGCGTCCAAAATGTCCCAGTAAAACTGCCTGTTTTGGACTCGACGTGATTTTCAGAAGGTTCTCATGAAGGTGGCTCATGACCTGGCCAAGGTCATGTGCTCTGTGGTCATATGAGGGTTGTGCTTATGATTTAGGGCTTTTCCTGATATACAAACACCAAAGCTATGCAAAAATCCGCGAAAACTGTATTCTTATACGAAGAGAAGCAAAAATTGACCTGACTCCAGGACACTGACCTTGCCTGTTTTGAAAAGTGTGATGTACACAAGCTTTAGGTACTCCCATGCTCTATTGTCATAATATGATTGAGCAACGGCCAATTCCCACAAAAAGTTTTGTTTGCTAAAAGTCCTTTAGAAGTTAGCCTCTTTGACCTAGTCTGGGCCACTAATCACGGTTGATCAAAACCTCAAATCGGCACACAGGATGTGAAATTAATAAATATGCATATAAAACTACTGACAATTTCGTGTTGCTGCGAGCATTCTGTTTTGACTTGCCCTCGAAAAAAAACATTAGGGAGGATCACCTTTCTTCCTCCGGGCGCGGGTTACAAGGGTTTTAATATTTTGATATCGGAGGCACGAGTTGAAGTACAATCAGGATTTGGGAGCAGGTTAGGTCAACGCTATCGGCTCATTTCCCTCCCCAACTGATTCTATGAAGTGACGCCTTGTCCGCCGTATTTGCTTCTGAAGGAGATATATTTAAGACTGTGACGCTGAATCGGACCTTTGAGTGCATCGTTCCTGGTCCACTTCCCCGATTACCTCACGCCTGCCAATCAGTGCGCGAAGCGCTCCGCTGTAGGAAACATTCTAGAAGAGATCGCCATCAACGACAAAAAAAAAATTACAGTGGATTAGCCCGACACGCGTCAAGACCAGTGCACTACCGCACTTGCGGCGGACGCTGGCGGCCCGGCTCTCTCTCAGATCTGCCGCGGGACGACCCCCGGCTCCAGCACCCAGCCTCGACGCGTCAAGGACCAGTACACTACCGCACTTGCGCCGGACGCTGGCGGCCCGGCTCTCTCTCAGATCTGCCGCGGACGACCCCGGCTCCAGCGCCCAGCCCTCGCCCGGGACCGGCTGGGTCACTCTCGAGGCGTGCGCTGGCTGGAGAAGGGCGAGGGGTCGTGGGATGACGGGGCGGGCCGCGTGAAAACCGAGATCGGTGGGGCTGGCTGTGTTATGAGGCTTCAGAGAAACGGGACATCCCACGGGTGAGACGAAAGCCAAACTAGAAATTGGCTTTGTGAGGAATATGCTTAGCATTCGCATGACAACAGATGACGTCGCCAATATCCTGCTCTATCTCCACTCATTTGCCGCAGCCGACGTGTGTGATCATTTCTATCTCGTGAACTCGTTATTCGCTCCGCAGCTATTTGCAAACAGACGCCACGGTTCGCTGTACAACATCCAAGATCAGTCGCATCCCGACCTGGCACAAGCGCAGCTGGTGACCTACCTGTGATTAACGCCCCAGAGTATCGCGCCACCAACGTGCGTCACAATCGAGGCGCGCGCCGCGAGGGCCTCTGAGTTCGTAGGAGGCCGCCGCGAACGACGCACGCGGCAGCGGCGAGGGCGCCTCTCGACGGCCAAGTTGTGGCTCCCTGGCCAGCAGGACTGATTCAGGCCCGAAGACAGCTCGGGGTCTGCCGCCCATTTCCAGCCCAGGTCACGTCAGGCTCAATGAGTCCCGGTGGATGTGGCTAGACCAGCTGAGTGTTCTGAACTGGATCGATCTTATCGACGCCACTGAAAACTCCCCCTCGCCGACTAGCTCGACACGGGATGTGCGGTAGCCCGCTGAACTGGTCGCAAGAGTTGCTGGAGGCTGCGAGCTGAGCCGGACAGGACGAGGGACCTCGCCAACTCGATTAAGCAAAGCTCCGCCGACGCAAGGTCGCGGCACATTGCCTCCTCCACCAAACGGGTCCGACCGCGGTTATACTGAACGCATCACAGCACCGGGCGGCACTGAGTGACGCACCGCGGTAGCCTTCGGCGAGCGCGGCGGAACAGCTCTCTCCTCCACGCTGGCGGCCGCCATGTTCACGCGCGCGCACTCGTCGGACGCCGTGTATGACAGCGAGTGCCGTGGCAGCGACGGCGAGTGCTCGGTCCACCTGTTGGCCGACCGGCACGACTCGTGCAGCGAGCTGGAGCGGCCGGCGCAGCCATGCGGCGCCTACCTCTGGCCCTTCTGCTTCCACCTGATGGACAGCTACGAGGCCATCCCGCGGTACGTGCGGCGCGTGGCGCGGCTCGTGCGCCCACCGCGCCCAGGTCCGCCTGAGGCGCGGGCGCTCCTGGTCGAGAGGATTTCGACGACACGGGGTAAATCCGCTCCGGTTGATGATGAGCGTCATATAATGTTGTGTCTACTTCTACAAACTGCTGCAAACGCTTCTGATGTATGCCCTTTGTTTCAGATGACCATTTTGGTCCATGGCGCGGGAGATGGCAAGTCGAATGCTCATGATATCTCCTTTGTTTCAGGGTGCGTGTGGAATACTACGTCAACGAGAACACCCTGAAGGAGCGGTTACACCTCTACTTCATCAAAAATCAAAGATCTAGTAAGATGCATCTGGTCTCAGCTACTTTGAGCTCGCTTTTTAATGTAACAAATGTTTATAAACGTTTGATCAGACGCTTGAACATGTCTAGTAGTTCTTCGCATTGCAATATTATTTATATCCCATGCTGATGACATCTGGAGTCTAGCAAATATGGAACCGCGCTGCTAGCATGACGGACACACCACGCCGTGATGTCGTTTGTCGTGAACAGAGCATACGCGGGTGGCTGCCGATCGCACTGTCAAAATGCACTCAGAGGGATGTGATGCGCTATCCAAGTCGCCCTTGCTTGTGGCTGGTAGGGTCAAATGCCTCTAGAACATGACACCTTCCAACAGGCCTTCGGATACGTATTTTCAACTTGGTGATAAAGCTGCTACCTGTGTGCTGTACATCGTCCGAGTCGCCATTGACGGACGACCCGATCATGGCAAAATGGTAAGTCCGGCCCCTTCAGCTTTTTGTATCGGTCCTGCTGATGGGGCATGCGTTGAGCAATTGTTTTATCAGTCGCGCCGATATAGTAATTTTGCCTAACCGTGTAGCTACATACAAATGCACGTAATTCTGAAAGCTAATTAAGATGTGTTGTGCAACTTGCGTTTATTATTTGGCAGTTTCAACCATGTCTAATTATAATGCTTTTATCGCTCGCATCCGTTTTGTGATCTAGGTAATAGTCGTTTCTGATATCTTAATAGATGGAGAATTTCCATACTATTCTGCGCAGTTCCAAACAAATGTCTGTTTGGCTCTCTCTCCAGAGAACAATCCTACGTCGCTCCACATCCGTGAATGGCTCCTCAGTTGCAAAGCAACAGTGCACCATCATTAGCGATGAAGCCTTGCCGGGTTTGGAAGTGTAGCATTCTTAGTAATTCAGGTTAAATGAGCTGGGAGCCGGTGAGGTTTGGAATACGTACCCGATGCATTAGTTTCGTAATGCCCTTTGGTCTTTACGAGCCGAGAGGTATCTTAGGGGTTATTTGCTACCCTCATTATTTGCTTGAGGCTCCCGCGTGGCTCACCTTATCTCGTAATTGACTGAGACATCATGATATTTGGCGGTTTTGTGAGCGCGTCGGTTATTGAGGCACACTGGGACACAATAGTGCTGCAGTGCAGTCACAAATGTACAATATTGTGCTTTCCGTTTTGCCTCGCAAAGTCCCTCATATTTTTCGATGCGAAATCAGCAGCTTTGGCAGCGCGGAGAGAAACCGTACTGATGTGAGCCGATTACGTGTCGACAGCCCACGTTGCGTGTCATGTTCTCTCCCAGTGGGTGGCTCAGAGACTGTACGGCTTCATAGATGAAAATGGCATCAATTAAAAAATATCTTAGATCTCTTAGCGCGCAAATAAGGTAACTTGAGCACAGACGATATTTTTAGACACCATGCATGAAACTTGACGCACCTGGGTCGCGCTAAAATTGGTTTTCATGAAAAAAGGGCTGTTCTCATCCTTCGTGCGAAACTGTGCATACGTACTTGTGTTGGCACAGGGTTGCAACCAGAGGGGAGCAAGGAGGCCTTTTCTGGATGTCAGTTTTTTGCTTTAGCGCCTTAGACGGCACCTTCAGCTCTCTAATGATGAGAGCTAACTGGGCTTCAGGCTTCCCATCTCCTTAAAAAAAGTCTTGGCTGTGGTATCGCCTTGGGGTGTTTTGCTACCTGCGACCGCGTAGGGGCTGCCTCTATGGCCCTGCCATCCACATCCCACCATTTTATTTCACATATGTCGGTCGCTGTTACGAACGTAAGGGGACAGTCCATAGCCTCGGTCATTTTGCTTTTCAAAATACTTGGAAGAGATCACGATCATGAGATGCATGACTGATAAAATCACAGGTCACATAAGACAACTGACAAACGGACAGCATAAGACATATGGGTCAACATCGACATGATGACTCGACATTCCACTGTTGACCATCTCAAGTCACCCTGTGGTGCGTGAGTTGTTCCATCCGTCACAGACTACAATCAGTTGCTAACGCATCTAGCCAATCCACAACAAGAAACAACGCTCGAAGTGCTGTGGTACAGAGGTCCTGCCACACATACAGGTGGGAATGTGTTCGCCTGTGGGGTCATATCTCTGCGAACTGACGTGGCACCAAAATTATTTGGCGTCAACTGAGCCAAATTAGCTCTTGATAGCTATTGAAAATACTTCGGTTCGCTCTCTGAGTCCGTCCCTGATCTGAAGAGAGCATGCACTTTTTTGCATTTTCTCTTATGGTTAGATCAGAAGCGTACGATTTGATCAGCAATACCAATATCCTCAAAATTATTTTGAATAGCTCAGAATTTCTATTTGAAATAGTCGACCCTGCGGGAGAAATCTGATTTGACTCCCTGTTCACACAATAAAGTAGTGCATTTAATTTGCCTTGCTTTCTTTAACGTGTGTGTTCTGAAGTTCTTGCAACACACAATGTGTCAAAATGTATGCGTAATATATGCTAAGAAAGTTTGACACAGTTTGGTTACACTAAAAAAATCAAAGATGAAGCTACTGTTCCGCGAATTTAACAAAAAGTTACACTATGTCTTGCATTTCTCCCCTCTGTCCTTTACCACAACGGTGCTTCAGCTTTGGGGAACGAAACATCGTATCATCCACGTGACACATTGGCTCAAACTGCAACCAACCAACTTCTTGATAACAGCCATTGCCCGCTGGGCCAATCAAAACGTTCTTTTAGTCGCACCAGCAGAGGTGCACAGGGTTATCATCATGACGAATGACGATGGTCGCAACTGCAGGGAGGAAGCGTAGTGCTGAGCGCTGTTTCAAAGCGTTGATAGCGTAATTTGGACTAGAAAATAATTAAGATTGATATCCTTACCATGTCTCGACAGTACTGCGTTGACAGTGCCCATTGCTATTATAAGACGTAATTAGTCATGATGTTTCACTAGGGTATGTTTTTGAAATATGCCCCAAACGGTGGAAAACTCCCGTTAAGTCGAAATTCTTGCTACAATAAAATAAGCATCTCTGCCAACGACCTTGCCCTGGGGAACTCGCCCCCCAAAATCGGTCCAACAGATTGGCAGACTTTAGAGGGCGGAATCGGCTCTCATTCCACTGAGTTCAAGCGAAATTAAGTCCATGATGCCAGGGTTACCACTCAGTGGGTTTAGGGCTGATTGTCTAGTTCCATAAATTCCGGTACGTGTTACTGTTGCTGTTTGCGTTTGCTGTTATTTTCACGCGACACAACCCACTAACGACCTGCGGGAATGCCACCACTCAATGCCATTGCAATTAAGTCTTTTCATGCGCTTTGTGGCTGGTTCAGACAGGGTCTTAAAACTATGGCTAACTAGTATACTTCTGGTAAGCCTGGAGACAGCTGAATGCCTATGGCCGGCAATAGCCTGCAAACATTCATGATAAATTTGCATAGTTATCGCTCTAAATGCATGCGGGATAATAGCCGAGGCCGATGACCCGACCCATGTCGTCGTATTGGGACTTTACTGGGTCACAATATATTAAGCCTTCCACTATCGCCTTGGAGACCGCGGCACCGGACCAAGACTTACACATACCGGGTCAAGTCATGCGTCAGTCTAGGGTCGACTCGATGTGGTTCGCCGGCTTGAGTCACTGAAGACTGCCCGCCCATGAGTATCTAGACGGCTACCATGCGCTCGGCTCCAGTCAATACTTCCATGTCAATGCACACCACGCTGTTCCAAAATTCGAAGAAGGTTTGTTAGTATCCGAAACGCTGCTATTTAAACATAGCACGGATGTGTTTGTCGCTAGTCTGAATGAGAATACGCGACACTGGTGCGACACTGGTTGTGAAATGTTGCAGGTTTGGTTCACGTCTAGATTACAGGCACATGTTTCAGCCCGTAGATGCGAGACACGATTCTGATGATATAAAAATCAAGGATAGCATTTCGAGTCCAAGCCGAACTCTATGCATGCACTCTGCAGTCTCACTTCGAACCACGAGTCCACCCCGACGCCATGCATGAGTACGAGTGCGAGGTATCCTTCCCGCGGCCTGAGAGCCGGGCTCCCAAGCTGAGCCCACACGGCGTCGGAAACCTTAACGGCCGGCTACAAACCGTGAAGGCTAGTCCCATCAGATTTATTGAGATCGCGCATGACATTAATAGCTTCACGTCAGATTTTCACTGGTGCAGGGAGAGTAAGTACGAAAATGATCACAAGGTGGAAGCTTGCGCACAACCCAACACTGTCGTCCCTTGAACTATGCGGCCTATTTTAGTCTTACGCTGTTGTGTCGGCACTGATTGAGAGAGAGAGAGAGAGAGAGAGAGAGAGAGAGAGAGAGAGAGAGAGAGAGAGAGAGAGAGAGAGAGAGAGAGAGAGAGAGAGAGAGAGAGAGCGAGAGAGAGGAGGAGAGAGAGAGAGAGAGAGAGGAGAGAGAGAGAGAGAGAGAGAGAGAGAGAAGAGAGAGAGGAGAGAGGAGAGAGAGAAGAGGAGACGAGGGGAGAGAGAGAGAGGAGATGGGAGAGAGGGAGGAGAGAGAGAGAGAGAGGAGAGAGAGAGAGAGAGAGAGAGGTAAGAGAGAGAGGAGAGAGAGAGAGAGAGAGAGAGAGAGGAGAGGAGAGAGAGAGAGAGAGAGAGAGAGGAGAGAGAGGGGAGGAGAGAGAGAGGAGGAGAGGAGAGAGAAGAGAGGAGAGGAGGAGAGAGAGAGGAAGAGGAGAGGAGAGAGAGAGAGGAGAGAGAGAGAGAGAGAGAGAGAGAGAGAGAGAGAGAGAGAGAGAGAGAGGAGAGAGAGAGAGAGAGAGAGAGAGAGAGAGAGAGAGGAGAGAGAGAGGAGAGGAGAGAGAGAGAGAAGAGAGAGGAGGAGAGAGAGAGAGGAGAGAGAGAGAGAGAGAGAGAGAGGAGAGAGAGAGAGGAGAGAGAGAGAGAGAGAGAGAGAGAGGAGAGAGAGAAGAGAGAGAGAGAGAGAGAGAGAGAGAGAGAGAGAGAGAGAGAGAGATATATATATATATATACATATATAGTCTAGCTC